GCCAGCTAAAGCAACAACAAACGGAGCGGCGAGAGCGAGAGCAAACGGGCCTTCTAAGAAACCGTCTTCTTCTAAGAAGCCTTCCTCCCTTCCCGTAAGTACCCCCGTATGCGCGTCGACATCAGAGGCACTTGAGCGGCGGAAGAAAACGGTGTCGTCTTCTCCGACACTGGCGCGCAAGCGTCCCGCGTAAGGTCGCGCGTAAGCGCCCCCGTCTCCCATGCCGCGTGCGCCACGCCGGTGGCCCGCGTCAGCCACCGCGTGAGGGTCACTGTCTGTGTCATCTCGCGCAAGGCCCGCGTCGCCCAGTGAGCCTTCTTCCAGGGGGCCCTCGTGTCCACGGCCGCGGACTCAGCTCGGAGAGCTGGTGCGTCTGGATCTTCAAGAGGGGTCGGGGGGGCCGATTCTGAGCTGCCACTGTCTCCATTCGCCCCGCTCCGAATCGAGCCGTGCGATCAGAGCACTAGAAAATCACCACCCACCAAACCACCCCAACCCAACCCGAAGGCCTCAATTTGCCCTCCACTCCCAGTGTGGAGAGGTCGGGGAACATGGACAAGACACGTATGAAGCCCGTACCCCTCCCCCGCAACCGGAAATTCGGGTCTTCGGGTTGGGTTGGGGTGGTCTTGTATGTATCCAGAAGACGAAACAGCATCACCATACACTTTTGGCGCTCCGCGCGGATTTCTTGGATCGGCGCCTGGGCCCCCCTGGCAGCGCCTCCGCCGCCCCCCAAGGCGCGCTGCGCGCCTCAGAGGGGGGGGGGCCAGCTCAGATCCAAGAAAGCCGCGCGGAACGCCAATATTGTATGTTTATGCAGCTGTTTGTTCCGCTGTTGTCTCTGGTCGTCTGGCCCCAAATCGAGCCGCACGATTAAAGCACGTCGATGCAGCTTGCTGTCAGTACCGGGCTGGCGCTTCGTCCCTCGCGATCGGCTCGGTCTGGGCCAGGCTGATGGCAGGTTGCTGACGGCGCGCACGTAGTAAAAAGGGCACAGGAGCAGCGCGGGGCAAGACCTGAATCGGACCGACGTCGATGACAACGATGAGGGTGAGGATGCAGTGGGAGCCCATGCCAAGGAACACCCTGATTGCCTCCAGAATGCCGTCGAGTTCTGGGGCTTCGATGGTTTTGCTATGGAAGGCGTGACGCTCCGACACCAAACATCGATGAAATTCCTGGGGCATCAGGGTTGGGTTAGGTTCCTTGTGGAAGGTCTGCTGTTTTCAAGCTCCTACTGCACCACGCCCAGATGCTGGGCTGGCCACCGATCGGAGTTTTGCCTCGTCTTTTCTCTCTCTCTCTCTCTCTCTCTCCTCCTCCTCGTCTCTTCGTTTCTCGTCTCCGCCTCCGCCTCCTCTCTCCACTGATGTTCATCTCCTCGTCTCTCTCCGCCTCCGTCTCCATCCTCCGCCACGGCGACGGCGTGAGATGTGGAAGGAGAGGAGGTTGAGAAGCAGCAGCAGCAGCAGGAAAGGATGAGCGGGGCAGCGTATTAGGTCTGGTTGAGGGGACCACTCATTGCTTGGCGTGTGCTTTCTGGCTTTCTTACCGCGTGCCTCCCCCACTGCGAGGAGGACAGGGTCAGTAGGACCGTGAACCTCACGACGCGTTTCCGGGCACAGGCCCGCCCAGCGCGAGGGAGGAGCGAAGAGAGGTGAGGGGACCGGCGATAGGCAGGAGGAATGAGGAGGAGGAGGAGGAGGAGCAGGAGCGAGGAGGGGGATCGATGGAGGAGAGAGGGGCTACGAATTGCACCCTTACTAGACACAAGGCAAAGTCGCGGCAGACCAAGCGGAATGCATCCCCTCTGCATGCCGAGCGGTCGCTCGTGTGAGCGGTGCTGTCCGCGCTGGCGAGGATGTGTGGATGACTCCAGTGCTCGTAACCGCGGGTCTGTGTCCGTCGGGTGGCCGCACGGGTTGGTCAGCTGGGAAGAGGAGGAGGCGGCGGGGAGGAGGAGCGGGAGCGGAAGAGGATCCTGGGGAGTTGTACGAGGCGGTGTGAGATGGGGAGGCGGAGAAGGACGGCGTTGAGCATGCGAAGGGCATGTGTGCCACCATGGGATCTTCTACCGTCAGAGGCGACGTGCTCGTGGAGCTTTGCTGCCCCGTCTCTGCTCTTCGGGATATGCGGTGTGCAGCGGATCTGATTTTCGGTGCGCCAGCTGGAACGTGCATAACCTACGGTAGGTCCCTGCATTTCTGTCCGTATTCTCCGCCTATCTTTTCAAACAGTGGATCTCCGAGGCATTGACGCGAGACTTGGTTCCAGCAGGTCTGTCCAAGTCCGGCCTGGTTCGCGCCTGCCTTTCCTTGCTACGGCATCCCAGATGTTCGACGGAGTGAGGCTGGCTGACCGAACGCGTTGTCCAAGCACACCATTGTTCCTGTTCGCCCCCTGCGAGGGGGCTCATCACGCTCGGCCCGAGAGCGAGGTCCCAAGGCACAGTTGCTTCATCAGCATGGGCAGCCCTCCCAGGGGTACCCTTGCATCC